AAATCTAAAGACTGTGTCTATCGCAGAAAGTATTTACTTACAAACAAAGAGGTGCTAATTCCACAAATTTGACTAGCCGCTACGTATCGTGCGACTAGGTCTATTGTTTATAAATTATAATCCACGACTGGCAGGATGCGTGTCGGTCGGTACTTAATTATACCAACAATCAGACAATAGTCCTCGTCGGAAGCATTTCCATGGTGGTCACTAATTTTGAGTGACGGTCGGGGCCGACCGGCGTGGCGAACAAAGCTTTTTCACATCTGATATTGGCATGTCAAATATGAAATCAAGCGCCGAGGTGGGAACACATAGCGCCGAGGTCCCAAGTGAAGGGCCGAGATTCACAGGTATAGCGCCGCGGACCTCGGCGCTAAAAAGCCCTGGGGAGAACCCTGGATAGTGTGTGTATGGACGTGTATAGTCAATAGCTAGTACCTATGAATACAAGACATGTTTCATTGAAAGAGTACGACTTACAGGATGGTTTGTTTTACAAAACTAGCACTTAAGATGTGCATTTCATACAATATATCACAAATAAGTCATGCCCTCTAGAGGGAGGAAGTGTTCAGTGAGAGCATAAGATGACACAACAAGTCAATGTACTTTACTTACCAGTGTCTGCATGTTGTGCGTAGAAGTTTAATTCATCAAGTACTTCAGTGATAACTACATTTTTATAAGTGGTCTTTCTATCACTTTCCTCCACAACAACAACATTCTGTGGTTCTTCGTAATTCTCCCAAACCTGTAGAAAAAGAACAATAATCAATTTAAATTCAACAAACTGGTGAAATCATTAAGATAAAGCAGTAGAGAGAGCAGCACTTGACAGCAGGAGTTTTAACCAGCCACCTGTCTGCCTGTCATTTTGTTTGATGGGCAAAATTTCTACAAAGCTATTCAATTTTGATGTCAATTACAAGTAAATTACAAAACCATAAAAAATCAAGAAATTGATCGTAAGTCTGTGTTTATGACTAGATACTGCTACCTTTCATTTTGATAAAGTTTTAAACAGGTACTTTTTATTTTCTGGCTGTAACCCTGCTTGACAGACATCTTCCATTGAAAAAAGAAACAGGAAATATTTGAAAACATTGCTGTTGTAGCTTTTATATTATGAAGATATCACCAGCTCGATGAATAAGTGATACCTCATCACGGTAAGACCAACTCGTTGACAATTATTGTTTCTTATGTTCAGTACAAATCACATGTACATATCTACTAAAGGGCTCTGTATGTCATTTTCAATGCAGTATGGCTGAAGTGCATAGATTTACAAAATATGGGAATTATAATCAAACATAATATTGGGCAAAACAACGTCACAGAATCTACATGGCTCTGTGCGAGCTTCTGTGTAATGTCGGTCAAAGAGCCAGAGAAAAATGCCAAGAAAACAGCACAAACTCAACTTTGAAGTACCTAAATTTATATATGTTTAGGAGTGTCTCAACAACTATTCCAAGGTACAGTTTTTCAGACTTTTTTTCACCATGATGGTTGCCAGCCAGTGAAAATGCTTGGATGTCTGCCCACGAGAATAAAGAAACTAGCATAACAAAATGATTGCCGAGCATTTTTTTTAATTTTAATTTGAAAGAAAAATATGAAGTACATCTGTAACCCAGTATGCATTTTCCTGATTAAAAATCGCTGTTTGTCTATGAGCAATGATTCTGACACCTTTATAGATGCGATTTTAAGATTTTAGACAAAATATCATTAATTTGACAAATTTGATCAAATAACAAAAAAACAATGCTCAATATAACCTACATGTACAAGTATAGTAGTATACAAACTTTCAATTTAATCAGGTGACATACTAGTGAGAAATCAGATGGGGGCAGAAATGCAAACAAAATGGCTACAAGGTGGCCATTTTAAGACAAGTATGCTTACATTTCCCATTATTCCACTCACCTTAATCTTCTTCTTTCTGGCATTCTCTTCTGCTAAATATAATAGTCTACTGTATGGACTACGTTCAGCTGTGAAATGCGTCTTTGCTAACCCTTCTTCTACCAATGATACGGATAAATTGATACCATCAACAAATAACCATCCAATAAAATTACCGGCTCTGTCCATTGATTCTACTTCAACTTCAACCTACAACGATGTACGAAAGATAACGTACAAAATGTCACAAACTAGTAAATAAAGTCATTTGTCAAGTAATTGCATTACACAGCCCCAATCCAATGTAGTAGTCAAATGCCCTTGTTCACATTTTGTCAACTACCGAATACCAACCAATATATACTAGTAAATTGCAAGTCACAATATAGCCCATTCAATATGCAACAGGCCCTTTCACAATGATGCATTGCAAAATCACACAAAAATTCAAACCACAGCAAAAATAAATGCAACCTATACCAATGTGGCCGAAAAGCAATAGTCACAAAGTGATTCTAAAAATATGAACAGTATCCAGTATGTATCTCAGAGTCGCAAACCATAATATACAAGTTACCATGTTAGTAAGAGAGCAGCCTAAACAAACCTGATTTAATCTTCCAATTAATTTGACAATGAACAAATAAATATTTTTGTAAGTACTGGGTAGTTATTATTTAAATAACATGATTGTAGTGTTGAAGGGATAAATGGATGTGACAGACAAGCTGTCAAATACAGAAAGCAAAAAAACAAAACAATGAAAGGCGTGAATAGTTTTATTACTAAGAAACATCACCAACTGACATCACCAGAATGTGGTCATTTCTCGTAAAAATACGATGAGATGGTGGAAATTATAAAATTATGCGAGTTACACTAAATCTCAATATTAGAAAATCAACAACAGCAAGTATAACTGATTGACACACATCCTAACTCAATACAATTCATTATTTATCTACACTACATGTACAAACATTGGGTAACATGTTTGTAACATTCTAACCATACTTGCTAAGAGCACACAAATAAAATCTTACCTCTCTCTGCAGACATAGTTCTTTTGTATATTGCAATGCGTCCTCTGCACATGCTTCAGTTTCAGATGGACCACCAGGACCTGTACGTGCCATACGGGGGCAGTTGATACCTACAAAATATATCATGGCATACATGTATTTAAAAAAAATTTCAACAAAATGTTGGCCTATGAAACTCAAGAATTATATTAAGTGATCCTGTACACTTGTAAACACAAAGCAATAAGCATCACAGATTATAAAATATAAGCTTCACAATGCTATTTTTATATTTCAAAAAAGCATTAATGGGAACATACCAGCTAGAAGGAATGTTACAAGACACGTCTCTTTAGGCAGATAGATTCTTACACGTGACCCACTTGCTACAAATTCAACAACTCCTTCACTGCGACCAGCACGTTGTAAAAATGGCAGAAATTGTTTAGCTTTCTGTGGTTCCTGAAAAAATAAAAAACATCAGAAACATTACAAGTTATTCTCAAGGGCAGGAGTGATGTTGTTACACTGTTCAGGGGAGTCTTGACAACAATTTTAAAGTACCATGGTTCTAATAGTTTTCAACCTTTGTTATCACCATGACGGTTGCCAGGCGGTGAAAATACCTGGTTGTCTGCCCCAGAGAAAAGGATTTGTCATGATTCCAAGATCTTACTAAAAATGAAACAGATGTAATCATAAACACATACTAGTAGTGCATTTTTTGCCACAGAAGTCATATTCATATTTGGGACTACATGACAAGGCTGTGTGGCCATCTTTCTATCAAATGGCAATTTTAATGCACTATCCTGGCATCAACCAGGCTCGGTCGATGCAACAGTCACTATTTTTGTTTTCTCATTTGTTTGTCCAAATTGAACAGCTTCATATAACAGAATGATTAGTGAAATATGAAATAAACTATTGGTACAATGTGTATAATGTTAATAAATATGCAAATAAATTATTAAATTTGTAAAACTTACACCAGATAAATCTGCCACTCTGTGTATTGGTGGTTCTTTTTTACTATGTACTCCTTTCCCATTCTTTTGTGCTCTTGCTTCCGCAGCTAGTAATTCATCATAATGCGAGGAGCGTTGGTCGTCGTCGGCACGGTAACGTAAAACACTAGCAAATCCTTTGCTAACCAGTGCTTCACCAACGTTACTGAAAGATAAATGAATAGCAAATTACATCAGGATAGGATAAGAATAGACAAGTAAAATCCAGATGTAGAACATACTAAAAATAGCTAATGAAAACACACTAATGCTTTTATGATTAATAGTTTGTAAATTTTTTATATAAAATTTATAAACTAATGAAACAAAATGCAACAGACAGTCTATTCTGAAACGCAACTGAAAATGTGCACTCATATGATCCCCTGTGGGTAACAGCGCCACCACAGGATAAAATTATATGAACTGTAACCTTATGATAGCTACTTCCATGAATCAAAATCTCAATTAAAATTTTTGAAAAACATGAAATAAGACGTTGAGCTTTTGTGTCTCTGGGGTTATCATTTGTCCAGATCAATAACACTGATAGATTCAAATTTGGGAGAAAAGATAATCAGTTTGTATACTTACATGTTTCCAATAGTAACAGTTGCACATGTCTTTTCAGGGAAACCTTCATTGGCAGGTCTAATGTAGTCAATACATACATTTACTTTTTTGCCAATCAACTTCTTGCGCATAAATTCTCGTGCCTCAAACATGTATGGTATGTCATACAAAGGACGAATACGACGATTCTCCTGAACAAAATAATGAATATACAGAAATTAAATAAAAAAATATACAAAAACAAAGAATATATTCATTAATGCTGCATTCTGGACAAGATTTTTCTAAACCGGGGAACAGGGGAGGAGTGCCCTGACACTCCTGGCTGGTGCCCTCTTACCGAAATGCCGATTGAATTTGAAGTCATAATTTCTTGAGCTGCGCACTTTCGTGTCGCAGTACAACATTAAATTAGTTTTCAAATATATTTTTTTCTGTGAAAACTTCTCAGCAACATCAGCTGACAATGTGTCTGGACACCAAATACACTACAATCACTCCAAAAATATTTCAATGGCGCGAGATACACAGTTAAAATGGCACAGAAACCTTTTTTGGTCAATTTGCTCCCTCGCCTGTGTGTGCTCCCTCTTGTTAATTTTTTCTAGATAAAACCCTTGAGATAGTGTACGAGTATAAAGTTAATTTATGGAAGCACACTTCATTGTTACTACACCACTATATTCATTTAGATCAAGTCCTGCTCTAAAATCTGGTGGCAGTATTTTAACTGTAGAAGCTACTTTTAAAACTAAAATAAGCATGCAGCAAACTGTTCAACTTACAGCGCCCCCAAACTATTGTAACAAAAAATCTTTTGTTTAATCAACAGTACTGTAAAACTATTTTCACTTTTTTGATGTTTTGAGCAATTTCACTGCTTTTTACGTTGGCAGGGAATCAATGAGTTATATTGTTATTTTACATGCAGATTTGACATTGCAGATTTTATTTAAGTGAAAATAAAAACCAGTGAGAAATTAATACATTTATAATATTTCATATAACATATTTCATATTATATATTTTGTATAACATATTTTTATTGAATATTTACCTTTATTGGCGATTCATCTTCTTTACCGGGTTGTGTCAACCGTGGAGGTCGAATACTAGACAGCGTTAGTTTACGGTATTCACCAGTGTTTGTTTTGATCACCATTGAGTCAGCATTTACTACTTCAACAACTTTGCCAGTAAAGTTTTTATCTTGTAAATCTATGGCTGGTCCACTGGGAGTGTAGTCCTTCCATATTCTAAGACGTTTGTCTTTAGCAAACCTGGTATAGATGAAAATAATGTCAGATAAATACAAAACCATGTCCCTTCACTTGTTTATAATCCTCACTAACTTCATAAACCGCTGATGAGATAAAAGAACCCTTTGTGAGAAACTGTAAACCTTTGCGAAACTATGATTAGAATCATGCACACTGGAGCAAATGGGGCTGCGATCAATCCCATTCAATAAACCATCAAACTCCCATTTAGCTAATATTATGGTCTGGGCTAGAATGCCTACTTTGTAATTTATCACATGACCGTTTAATTTACCCGTCTCATGACCATGCATAGAACAATTAAATAAATTGATATAAATTAATATAAAGGACGACATCCAAATTTGTTTTGTTTTTAATGAAATTGAAATTCTGAAATATTTGGTATAGTAGGTTTGTGAATGCAGAAGCTGAAATAAAAAATAAATACATTGCTGTTCAGTGGAACCAATCACTATCCACATGCACATAAATACATTGCTGTTCAGTGGAACCAATCACTATCCACATGCACATAAATACATTGCTGTTCAGTGGAACCAATCACTATCCACATGCACATAAATACATTGCTGTTCAGTGGAACCAATCACTATCCACATGCACATAAATACATTGCTGTTCAGTGGAACCAATCACTATCCACATGCACATAAATACATTGCTGTTCAGTGGAACCAATCACTATCCACATGCACATAAAATTGTCAATAAAGTCGTTTCTCTTGTAAACCTTTGTAACACTTAACACTAAATTGTCAACTTTTATCACCTTTTACAAAATATACCTGTCAATAATTGTTAAAATGTACCTGTACTATAATAATACATAGATAAATGTGTGAATTCTGTATTTACTTTAATGGTTGTTCTAATTAGCAACCAGTTCGAGGAAGGGTTGTCACTTGCACATACGTCAGATGGTCATAGCGTGTCATTGTTTAAAAGCAAGCGTCTCCCCATGAGCCTTTGCGTTTTTCGCACATGCGCAGGTGACCCTCCCTCTTTAAATTTTTGATAGCCATAACAAAAGTGGTTGCTAAAGAAACTTTGTAAATTTTAACATCAAAAATGTTTAAGTTTGGCTTGAACACAATAATATATTTGAGTTAATATCACAAAAATGGGTCTTATCCACAGTCAGCTGGCGCACACGTGATAATAAAATAAATACGATATTTACTACGTGAGGGCCGCCATCTTGACGCATAAAACTAAATAAGAGACAAGTTGTGAAACGCGTTTTTCAGATTCCTACAAATCAGGACAAAAATACCAATCTTTCACAAAAATACGATCCATTGGGGTTATATTAAGCCAACCGATAACAAAATTCAGCCTGATTTCGTCGGTTTTGAGTTGAAAAATCCCTTGCATACGAACACCTAATTACGTGAAGAACCTAGAACACTTTTCTGGGGTATTTAAAACTAAAAATTTGCATTCCAGCTCAGCAGCCAATCAGCGACGGCCTAACGCTTAGATGACAATTTCAGTTTCAAATACCTAAAAGTTCTTATTTATAGGGTGTAAGGCCTGTATAGTTTAAGGTCATAAAACACATAACCCGTAGACTTATAACAGTTGTATCGATTCAAAAAATTACAACTAGATCTGAAAAGGAATGTAACGGGAAAACATTGCATAACATTAAAACTCACCGTTCAGCTGCTCGTAATTTTTCAGGTCCTTGCGACACAAGTCCCATACTCCAATCAACACAACGAGCAAAACCATCACGCACTAACAATTCTGATATATTACCATTCTGAAATAAAGTAGTACAATAAGAGACTGCTCATTGTAACTCCATGTCAGTTAATTTGTAATTAACATAGCACATCTTTAAACATTAGTCTTTTGATATTTTTGTCTTTGGGGGCATTCAATTTTGATGACATCAATTGTAAAACATGTACGATATTGAAAAACTAATACCGGTAACTTTCGCTATTAGAAATTTTCAGGATTTACCGATTAGCCATTTGTTTTCAGTATGCCCCAAAGATTTCAACAAGTCAAAAGGTGTAACGAAGATTATACTTTTTCAATAAGCTGTTAATCTGCTTTTTTCCAATATTAATATAAGTTAGTTGTCATAATACTACTACTAGTATGTCTCAAGATTAAATGCTTTTTATAATATAGACGGACAAAACTCAGGGATTGCGTTAACCCCATATTTTGCTTCCCTGACAATTATTGAAGGGGGATCCAGTTTTTCAGGCAAGCTGGGGTCCAATCCCTAATAAAGTTATCCAGGGTCAAATTTCAATTTCTTAAAATTTTGCAAGTGGGATTCGTCTTGCCGAGACACTAACGCAAACCCTGGACTCACTGACTCACAATTTGAAAATTACTTGAAGCAGTTCAATTGAATTATTTTGAATGTGTATTTAGTAATTTATTATTTAGTATATTTATATCATTACATGCACGTCTCATAATTGTCATAAAACACCAATAAAATATCATGAGAGAGTGTGTATAGAGATGCATCTATTTATACATGCAAAAACTAATACTGAAATATTGAAGGTATTACTTAGAGAATGCCCAAGTTGTTAGCTAGCTACCGGTAAGTCTTCATGCCAGCTATGCTGTATTCAGAACTCAAAGAAATGCATGGGTCAATTTTTTTACTTAATCACCCCATAACAACGATACAAAACAATGCAGTGGCTAGTCCAGATCAATAAACACAACACAAAATTGAAAACGTACCGGATGTAATATACTTCCAATGAAGTTCTGATTAGAAATCCCCTCTAAGATTATCTTCACATCTCGCTGCAATAATCGGCTTTCAGTGAAGAATTTTGCTTCTTCCGCAAATGGCTCTGGTACTTGTTTATCTCCTTCTAGTTTGAACATTGGACACTGCAATAAACATTTCATATTTCTGAGTGGGTTTAATTCCCTCATGAATATTCATGACATGTAAATTATAATTATCCTCAAACACAACTAGTTTGAACATTGGACACTGCAATAAACATTTCATATATCTGAGTGGGTTTAATTCCCTCATGAATATTCATGACATGTAAATTATAATTATCCTCAAACACAACTAGTTTGAACATTGGACACTGCAATAAACATTTCATATATCTGAGTGGGTTTAATTCCCTCATGAATATTCATGACATGTAAATTATATTTATCCTCAAACACAACCAGTTTGAACATTGGACACTGCAATAAACATTTCATATTTCTGAGAGGGTTTAATTCCCTCATGAATATTCATGACATGTTAATTCTAATTATCCTCAACACAACTCAATTCACTTATGTGACAGCCAATGAAATTTCAGGTCCACTGCAATGACATAAGTACAATTTAATGGAAATACATTTCATCAATTCAAGAGCAAAGTTTAGAATGCAAAAAGTCAGCAATGGCCACTGCAAGAAAAGTGCAATTTTGATTGAGATTGAGATTACACAAATTTCAAACTTTTTGTTTTGCAAAAATGCAGGGAAATATTGAGTAGTTCCTCTGTCAAGCGAACAATTATTTAATTTTTATGTCAACACAAGTAAGAACTGTTCTTCATTGGATGCATTATACAGTCTGTGAGTGTGTGAAAGTAGTCTGGGTAATGAGAATTCTTGCATCTTCATTTCCTCCAATTTCAATTTACTCTTTTATATAATTCACACTATCAGATAATTGTCAATCAGCGCAAACACAATTAGCATTGAGTGAGATAAACGCTGAAATAAACAGATCTGTTGGCACAAACTGACAATCATGGTTTAATGACTAGAAGATCAAATACTTTACCTTAATTCCTGACAACATAATGGTGATTTGATGGAATGATGGCAATAAAAACGCCCTCGCTGTACAGCCATCACGTACAAACTCAATGACAGCTATGAATAAATATAAACAATAAATAAGTCAACTTTAAGTTATGTAAGAATACAGTAACGATATCAAGCATGAAGCTTTTTTCTCTACACATGTTGGAAATAGTACATTTGTAATTGTTATGTACTAAGAGTATGCACGATATCTGTGTATCATATATCTAACTTACTGCACATTGAAACATGGCTGTTTTTTTAGAGTTGGTTTAAACATGGAAATTACTATAATGTACACGTATGTGAGGTATGTAGATTGACACAATAAGTTTCACCCCCCACACACATACCCACACACACAAATGAACATGTTTTTGGAATAAATCCATGACTGATACTTAAATGTTCCTTTACTGTAAACTGTCTAATTTTCACTGCTGGAATTTGTTGTGGTTTGATGATCTTGGGCGACCTGTCACGAAATTCAGAAATTCTATGTTGTAGAATCCCAGAGAAATTAAATTCTTTTGGCTACAAAATTATGCAATTTCAGACTCGCAAAAAAAAGTTGAAACAGTTTACAGTGTATCACATAAGCAGGATAAGAGCTAAAACAGGATGTGCTTTTGGTGCTACCATTATGATAAAGGGATGATAGGTACTTACCATCAATGGGCTCCTGATGGTGAGAATCCATGAAGTTTCTTGGATTGTCAATAACCCATGTGATATCCCTGACTAAGTGAGTGTTTGGTTCTTTGCTCCATTTTCCTCTACCCACACCTTTAGCTGCTTCTTCCAATTCAATCAAATGCTGGCCTTGTTCACTGCAGAAAACAGAAAATTAGCCAGTTGTACAACCATAGTGGATATTTCATCAATCCTACCAGTGAGACAACCCAATTTTTGGTAAAACAGTAGTTTGCTAATTGCCTCGAGCAAATCAACCAACTGGCTGGTAACGGCTGCATTCACTGAATCTATTTTGAAGGCTTACATAAATTCAAATTTTCACCAGTTTAGAGAAACCTAGGAAAATCCTGGAGCATATTTACAGGGAAACCAGTAAATTGGAAAAAATCACTGAGGTAATAATTTGATATTTTACGAAGTGAAACCATACTTACATTGTTAATTTATAGAAAGATATTGATACTTTGATACTTTTGGGCTTTACTCAATATAAAATTGTTGTGTGTTGTCTTCCTATCAATTGTGTATAACGCCATAACTGCTTACTGATGTTTAATTCTATACTACCATAATAAATGTGTTGGGTTTGGTCATAGATGAAGGCTTTTTGTGACAATAAAGTACTAGTTATGACTGACCTATGTTAATAACTTCAATGCCATAATGCATGCAATGTGCAAAACACATTGTGGATGATGTACAACCAAAGACCAATCAGAGAAATGAATAATTATACAAAAGTAAAATGCACCATGATGATGACAGAGTCTCTTTTATACGACTAAAGAATATAAAGTAACATGTTATAAGAAAGAATATTACTTACTCAGTGGCTCTCAAACCACCTCTTCTTACTTCAACTAAACCTTCAGCAACAATAGATTCTGTAACATTCTCACCAGTTGTGTCTGAAAAACAACCACTTCATTATGACGTGCATCTCTTGTATTTTAGCCACTAATAACTAAATAAATATCATGGTAATTTATATACACCTGTCCACTAGGAGTGACAACACATTGGATCATAATCAGCTGATCTGACCTCTGACAACACATTGGATCATAATCAGCTGATCTGACCTCTGACAACACATTGGATCATAATCAGCTGATCTGACCTCTGACAACACACTGGATCATAATCAGCTGATCTGACCTCCCAGTCTATAGTGAACAAACAATCAGACTTGTCGTTTTTGGGAGTGTGATTTCTAGTTCGATATTAGCTTGTACGACATTTCACGAAGCAAAACTAAAAACAATAACTTCAGTTTTTATTTTTTTTATTTTACACACGCAATGTGTAGCAAGTTGTGAAATCACTCTGAATAGTATTTGTCATTCTCCAGCCATTTTTATAAAGCAAAACCAGTACAATGTAATCTCTCACCTCGGCCAAGGTAGATGTTACCATATTCACGACCACTTCCAGGCACTCGGTATTCAATAGTAAAGCACACCTCTTTACCCACCAGTTTCTTACGCAAGAATTCTCTCGCCTCCCATGCAAAAGGCTGCAAGTAAGAAAAAAATATTTACTAGAATACGCTGTACTAATAGAAAAACTTTCTTCACAAATATTCAGATTTCACAATTATACATTTTTTGGTTTGGTCTCTGAATATGCATAAACTCTGCATGGAAATCACTTGAGGCAAGTGAAATAGGATGATCTTTTGCATCACATTAATAAAATTATTATTTAAGTGACAGAAATTTACTCCTTATTCAATCAATCTTGAAATATTAAAGGGAGAGGGTCGTCACATGTGCACGCGCGTGAATTGAGTCCTAAGCAACGATAACAACACGCGCTAAAAACGCAAAGGCTCATTGGGAGATGCTTGTTTGTAAACAATGACACGCTATGGCCATCTGACGCATATGCAGGTGACGACTACCCTGCTTTAAGATAACACTTGCACGGCTTAACCATCTTGTCTGCAGTTTTATTTATTATTCAATTTTTTTTTTAAATATCTAATTTCAGGACAATAGGAACCAAAACAAATTATGTGTTAGTGGAATTTTTCCAGGTACTTCAATAGAGCAGACATGGTATTAGAAATACATACATGTACATCCGTCAACACTGACAGCTTTCCAGTAACTGTGACAATCTAACTTTCCTATCTGCACTAAATATTATTGTAATAAAACTATCACTCACTTCATCTTTGGTGTCAACTGATCCTTCAATATTAGGACTTGCACGTCTTGCTAGCCTTGGTGCTGTTATGTTAGATAAGCAGAGCTGTCTTTCTGGTGGTGGCCCACCTTTTGGTTGTCCTCGGATGATCACAGAATCACCTGACTGAACCTGAAATTAAAAAAAGATTTTTGTGATTAACTGAATAAAAAGTAACTTCCAATTTTAAAAGAGACTATAAAATGAACTGACTATGCATGAATTAAACTTACAGATAGCATTCAACTAGCTAATCTCAAACTTTCAAGTAGTTTTCAAGCTGGCTTTCAACTACCTTCAATATTCAGGTAGGATTTGGACAATTTTTACTAGCTTACAAGCTGGTCTGATGTGCCTTTCAAATAGGTTTTAGCATAGACCTTAGAAAGAGATGGTTTCAGGTATCATTTAACTAGTTTTGCACTGCAAGTTCAGCTAGATCATATGAGAGAATATACTACAATCAGACCTGTACAGTGACCACAGTGGATCATTAATCAAAGTAGTCTTTATAGACAGATGTTTCTTCTATAGAAGTTGGATATTTCATAGATCATCAACTCGTACATTTGACATAACATTTGTCCAGAAAATAATGAGATGATATAAAAATCAAATAAATAAGTCTGAGTGACATGAGGCAATTAAAAATTGCTTTATGAATGGAGTATTGCTGAAAGAGTGGTCATATGGTATTCATACACAGGTTTCTGATATATTATGCTTTGAGACAGCATAAAAGTGGTCACAATAGGCAGACAGTTTTTTTCTAAAATAGAGGTTTTTAACTTGTTGACAAATTAATTACTATACAATTCTAATCAAATGATTTTTTTAACAGACTATCACAAGAAATAACTACTGAACATTATGACCCAAAATATGTGCTGAAAATTGTCTGCTCCCCCTATAAATCACATGGTTTCTCCCACTGCATTGGATCAAACTATGAGCAAT